GGCCACTGCGATGAGAAGCCTTGAGCACCACCACCGGAGGAGCCCTGCTTGCCACAACTACAGAAAAGGCCGCACAGCAACCAAGACAAGCACAGCCAAAACTAAAAGTTTAATAGAGTGCAGAGAACGGAATGATGATTGACATTAACGTGTGGAATCTCTTGGCATTTAAAAAAAAGGCACATGATATGACTTCGCTGTGGAAACTCCATTTCCAGAGACTGGTCCCCCACCATAGAGAAGAGCCTAGTTGCTAATGGTTAAGCATAAGAGCTCTTGGCTTCAGAAGCTCTGGAAACACAACGATGTAAGAGCTGAAACTGTCTTGGGGTTTGTACAGATTTTGAATTTACTTTGGCTGCTCATAAAGAATACTACCGTAATGCAATAATAGTTGAATAATGAATTGTACAGAAAGAGCAGTGTCTATCTATTATATACTGTACATGCTAGATGCTCAACAAAATTGAAAGACTTAGCTTGAGAGTCCAAGGCAGACTAAAGATCCAAATAAAAAAATAAACTTGGCTCTGCCAACTGCATGTCAGGCTGCCCTGGGAAAGTCATTTAACCTCTCTGAAACTTCTCAGCTATTCTTATCCCCAGAGGCAGTGTTTGGGGGCTCAGTGGAAACTGCTATTCTTCAGACTTACTAGGTGACTTGTAAATTCTGAACATTTCATTCTCACTCCAAGCTAGAGGTAAAGGCTTAGACGATTGAGCACATGACGGAAAGCATAGGTGTCATTAATACATACTATCTCTGAGGATGGAGATACGATCGCAGAGAAGGCCATTAATCAAACTGCTATGAATAATGTATTACCATTACCTGGATTACAGCTCCCCCACCACTGTTGTCCTGTTGCTCACTGGTCTAGATGGACTGCTGGATAAAAATGAACAGCTACGCCTGATGTCTTAGACGAAATCGACACAATAGCTCAATTAAGAAAAGTAAGAGCGCCACTCCACCTTGGTTGATCCCAGCTTTTGGTTTCAATGACAGCCACTTTAATCAGAGGGGAGGTCCCAGAGACGGATATTGGTGGCTTATTCATTTCAAGGAAGATTGGTTTCCCAAGTATAACTCTTAAGACCTTATGGATCCAGAAGTTCTGTGCATATTTCTAGAAATCCTCTACATGCTTTTCTGTATGCATGGCACTATGTGGGACGTAGAGATGCCTCTAAAAAGACTGCACTTTCCTTCAAGGACCCTACATCTGAGGCTGGGTAACAAGGCCTTTATTCAACACATGTTGGCTGGGTGGCTGCCATCCATAGGCACTGTCTGAGCAGGAGGAACGAGCAGGGGATGGTCGTGTGGGGCTGGGGCTGCCTGAGAGTGGGAAGGAAGCTTCTCTGGAGATGAGCCATGCTGAGTGAGGCCAGGACCTGCGGGGAGAAGAGCAGAGCTGGGGGAAGGTTCCGGATGCAGGGGAGCAGGAGAAGGATGGGCAAGTGCCTATGAAACTGCGAGGGTAGTGAGAAGGTTCCCTGGAGGTGCCCTGATGCTGTGCCTTCAAGGCTACAGAGAATCACATAGGTTGGCGGGGAGAGCCTGTATTTATTTCTAGGATGGCCTCACTTCCCTCATGATCTACTGATGTTTTGCTCTGAGACCTGGTCTGGAGCTCATTTTAGTCCCCTTGTTGAAATTGTAGCTCTCCTTTTCTGATCTCAAAATGACATCAGGACACAGCAGAGGTGACGGCGGCCTCAGCCCGGCTAGGATGCCACCGACGAATCCACTGGGAAATGGAAACAATAGACTGAGGGAAATAAGCCTTCTTCAGATGTCTAGTTTTTTTCTTAATTGCCTACAGGAAGATCCAGAGCAGGTGTTCAGTACCTGAAAATTTATGGGTAATTATTTGGCGGCTCAACCCTCGGGCATACTTGGGTGTGATTCTTTTAACACTAAGCAGTTTCAAAATAACAGGGATTTGACGCTTACCTAAATATGATCATTTTGTGTACTTTAAAAGACAGAACATCTGTTTTTCTCTGTGTATTTGCTCCCATAACATCCCCAAACACTCATGTATTTTCCTCCTGAATCATATCCATGGAAATAGTTATCTTTCAAAAGCTGCAGATGTTAATCTAATCCAACTGAGACGATGAACAGTTGAGACTGGCCCCCTATTCAGAGCAAGCCTGGGTTGGGGGTGGGGGTGGGAGGGAGCACAACAGGCTGATGGGACTTAGAACCGTCAACAACCTGTCTCTGCTAAGAAATCTTGTAAGGAAGTGGGGATGACAGTGCCCACCATTCCCCCTGAAAACCGGGTCTCCTTTCGGAAGCCCAGCTCTTGGCTGGTCATTAACCTTGAACTGACCAGGCTGCCTCCCAAAGATGCCTCCAAAAACAGAGCCTTCCTGGAGGTATAGACACTGTTTCCTTCTGGTGAGCTGCCCCAGGGAGGTTTAGGAAGAATCTCCCAGAGTCTTGACCTCTGATCTGAGGACGGGCTGCTCATCCAAAACCGGCAGGTTTGCTTTAGGAGATGGCACTTCGTAAACAGAAATAACCTGGAAACATCTAAGCTGCTATCAACAAAAGTCCCAGTCTAAAAGCTGTCTTCCTGCCTGGTGTACTTCATGGTAACTGCTCAAAGGAGCTACAGATGGAGAGTGGCCACTGTCTTGTTCTCTAGATGAAAAACTCGTGTCTAAGCTAAAAAGCTAACAGCTATAAACCAAAGTAGGTACTAGGAGCTCCTGAAGGGCTGGCAGGGTGATGACTTCCTGATTTTGCATTTCTAGCACCAAACTAGATATCTAATCTAAGATGCTCAGTAAAAGCCGATGAGCAGAAATGAACATAAGCACGCATGCAGACTCTCTGTGCTGCCCATGTATAAATGGGAAGACGTCTGAGCAGAGTCCTGAATGTCCATGCGGGGCTTAGTCATCTCTAGTCCATAAGACCTGACTCTGCACAGATGGTGCGGGTGCTGTTAAGATGCTGGGAGGCACAGCTTCACACCGCAGGGAAGGAAGCTCAGAAAGCCTCAATCACGTGACCTGTGACAAGGGCAGGTGGAAGCGGGGCTTACCTGGGCCCGTGGCCTTCAGGTCAGGGCCCCTGGGACTTGACCACGTGCACGGAAGCACCTGAAGGGCTTGGTAAAATGCAGACTCTGATTCTCTAGGCCTGAGGGCCCAGATTCTGCATGTCTGACAACCCTGAGGTGCTGCCGCCCCAGTTTTTGCACCAGACTTTGAATAATGAGGCTCAAGGGAGGTGTTTCAGAGTGGCCCACTCCAGTCCGAAGCAAGATGTTCTTAGTTCACGCAAAGAAAGTTACTTCCTTAGTTCACGCAAAGAAAGTTACTTCATTTAGGAAGACAGACTCAATTTGGGCTAGTCTCAACACTTCTTTGATACCAACCTATCTCCTTAGACAAAGAGAAAGCAAGCAGGAGGTAGTGGAGAGAATGGGCCCTGGGTGTCCAGCCCTCGGCGGCACCAGTGACAAGCACTAGGATTTAACAACACTGCCTCATGTCCGCTGTGTTTACTGTACGGCACCTCCGAGTAATGGAAATTCACGCTGAATTTTCTGCCTCAGCAAGTGATAAAGCATTTACTTTAAAATTTTCTTTAAATAAGCTGGGTTGAGTTAAAGGGAAAGAGAAAGCAAACTGGTTCTGGTGGTATCTGGATACAGCCAGATAATATAAGGCAGATATGGTGGGAACTCAGTGACCCTCCAGAAACCACATGCACACTCTTAAGAGACAGGAGCATTTTTCCAGGGAGAGACCAGGGAGATGCTCAAAGGCATTAGAAAGTAAGATGGCCGTAAAGAATCCACCGCTGTAAGGTTGAGTGTAACTTAATACCAAGGAATTGCAAAGTCTACAGCTGAAATGGAGCAGGACTCTATGGGTCCTTGCACCCACGTCCTCTGCCTGCCTTCTGTCTGTGGAAAAACTTCAGCCAAAGAATTAGTTTACTCAGAGAAGTGAGAATATGCAGAAAACAAAGGAAACAGTCAAAGGAGACCAAATAATACTTCAGTCATTACGCATAATCAAGGACTGGGAAAGAACCCACTTGCCAACGGAGGAGACATAAGAGACGTGGGTACGACCCCTGGGTCAGGGAGATCCCCTGGAGGAGGCAAGGCCACCCATGCCAGTATTCTTGCCAGGAGAATCCCATGGACAGAGGGGCCTGGCAGGCGATGGTCCATCGGGCAGCAAAAAGTCAGACACGACTGAAGTGACTTAACATACACACACACAAGGATCTTTAGTTCCTTCTCAAGGGCTATAGATAATACTCTGAGCCATATCCTAGGATTCTGCCTTATAGATACTGCCCAACAGATGCCAGGTGGGAGAAGTTAACTATCGGATGACCAGACTACCCATGACATAAGCTGCCACAATTCCTCGGCCTCAAGGACATGGGAAAAGGACATGGGAACAAACCGACCCTGGAAGTGAAGACTGACTGCACTTGAAACAATCAAGACGATGCTAATCTGACCACCAATGATCCATTTCAAGATGACTGTCAGAGCTGACTGTGCTGTTTCTACATGTAGGCCCCTGCCTCTGTTCATAAAAGTTCTTGGCCCCGACTGTCAATGGGGGAAGTCGACTTCGGACAGGCGTCCACCCTCCCCACCCCCCAGTTGCTGGCCACAAACCTGGCCTCTTTAATGGCTTTTGAGCGGCGAGCAGCTGACCCCACTTCTGGTTACACACCATCTTCCATAAATTGAGCTCCCAAGGTATTTGATAGCTTTTTAACGACCTCTGCATTGTCACAATGATCATCAAAAAGCAGTGTTGTCCTGTAAAGGTTGTTAAATAGCCCTTCTTGCAAAGCAGTGTTCCAGACAGCTCTAGACTCACCAAACATGCTGCTTCTAAAATCCATGAAAAGTGTACTTTACATCAGCATCGAGATATATGCTGATAGAGAACTTCCTGCCTTAATAATGACTGTTGACATGAGATACAGACGTTCTTCTTACCTCTAGCTCCAGCTCCTCCCTGTCCATCTCCTGATGGATGCCTGCGATGTAGTCATTTGGGTCATAGTATTCATGGGCTGAGGGATGCCTGAAAAAGGACGAAAGGACGTTAAGGCCCTGCGTGCAGTTCTGAGTCTCTGTTTTCCCATCAGGAGCTCCAGCAGGGCGGCGGGGCAATTCTGAGAGTCTCAGGTCTTAGTTCAAGTCTCTTTCGTTGTGTGTGCCCGCACAGTCAGGACCTCCCTCGTAATATTTCCATCATCTTCATTATGTCCATTTCTTCTGGAAGAAGGGGTTAAGATGCAGGCTGAGGAGGAGGGATGCAGTGGGAGGTTGGGGTTAGCAGAGGTAAGCTAGTAGATATAGGACGGAAACACAACAAGGTCCCACTGAATAGCACAGGGAACTATGCTCAGTAGTCTGTGATAAACCATGATGGGAAACCAACATATAACTGCATCACTTTGCTGCACGGGAGAAATTAACACATTGCAAATCAACTATACTTCAATTAAAAAAAATTTTTAAAAAAAGATACAGGTTAAAAGCAAGACTGGCTTTGTTCCTTCCAGTGGCTATCCCCCTGGCCCACTATCATTCAAGTCAGTATAACTAATTTCTAACTCAGCCTCTAGTCCAGAGACAGAGTTATAGTTACTGCTCATGACTTCATTCTTAGATTTTATCTCTGAGGAGGAAAAAAGCTCAACTTCAGGCGACACTTAAAGACATGTGCCGGCCTCTGACCTAGGTTCAAAGGGCTGTGGCCGAAACTGCTATGCTGTCGTCTAGGACAGTCTTCTTTTTTCACCTTTTGATGGTCTCACAATAAGAAAAACATTTGACATCACAATCCATGTGCAGCTACATGTCTGGAATGTATGTGCTTGCATGCATACAAGGCATATACGTATATATGCATGCTCCCTACACACACACGGCTAGGAGAATGGAGGCGTGCGTTCCTCTAGGTTAACGTGTGTGAAACAGAATTCACAGAACCCACCGCCTCTTTGGCAGAACCACTAATGGAACCTCTCGGAGCCAAGGCAGCAGCTCTGAAAAGTATCAGACACCGATGGAGAACTTCAGCTTGATTACCGGCTGGGGGCCCAAACCTTCAGGTTCTCAAAGGTCAGCGCAGCAATCTGGGGACTCTGGTCTTCTTGCCCAGGGAATTAAGTTTTGAAACAACACAGCAAACAGGAGCAGTCACTCAAATGAAGGCTGGCTTTCAGTTGTCTGAACCCATCAAGCAAATACGCTGCCTGCACATCCAGGGCTGTGAGCCCTGAGGATGTGGCTGGAAGGCCTGGGCTCTCGAGCCTCAGGGCAACTAACGCGCCTCCACCCACCCCCTGTTCAGCCCGTGATACACAATCCTGAAGTCCTCTGACCTTGCAGCCAGGACTGGGGCCGGGCTGACCTCTGCACTCTCCTGACATTTCTCAAATAGCCCCTGGGGTGGGGGGGAGGGGCGAGTCCTGTCAAGTTAACTAGACTTTAAGAGGAAATTACGGGTTTGGCTCCTAAAAAGCCTGTGACGGTGATGGTTCAACATTGAGAGTCGGAAGTAGCCTTAGAGCCGCATCAATATGAAAGGCAGTTGGAGTCTAAAACGTCAAATAACTGATCTGAGTGCCTGCAGTCAGAGAATGGTCTGGTTGTTCCCTAGTAACTGGGATGCTCTGGCGCATCCTCGGTGAGGTCTGGGAGATGAGGTGCGACCGGCTTGCCTTTCAGTCTGGCTGCCAGCTTGTGGGGGGCGGAACCGCTGAGTCTGCGGTCCCCTGGGGCACAGAAGGGACAGGCGTGAGAAGCAGGTCACAGCAGGGTGCTGGCACACCGCCCTGCGCCCCGTGTCAGGCAGGCACGCCCCCTCCTCCTCCTCCACGCGCTGTCGGCTGCAGCCCAGTTCCTTTTGCCACAGCTGGGGAACCGGCCCTGGGTTCAGACGACAGCTAACAATCGGAAGAACCGTGCGATGAAAGGCCAGCTTCTGTCTGGAGTTGCTTGCTGCAACTACTGAGTTGCTAATAGAGACCCGACAGGTACCGTTCAGAGGCTGCCCGTAGAAGAGGTGGAAGTGCCCTTGGAAATAAGGCATCATGGAGGCAACGACCTGGACCAGGAGCAAGATGGGAGGAGGAGGGACTGTAGTATCAGCCAGAGCGGTTAAGACGGGAAAGTGGACACCCTGCGCACAGACAGGCCAAATCACGTGTGACAAGCCACCTTAAAATGGACATCTTTTAAGCCACATGGACACCTTAGAAAATTTCCTGCTCATTTTTCCTCCTTACATGTTTTACACCACTGATTAAATCAACAATGATCACTGCTATCATTCATCCAGTGCTTACCATATGCCATGCTGAGAATTTTCCACACATGACTTCACTTAATCTTTCAACAATTCTATGAGATGGGTACTATTATGATCCCATTTTAACAGAGGAAAAATAAGGCCCAGGCAAGCAAACTATACATGTTACACAGCGAGAGATTAGTTTGAGCATCAGGTCTGGCCACGTCAAAGGCTCTGAACTACCCTATGTCTCTGGCAGGAAGTGCAGTGAGAGGAGAGTCGTGTAAAGTAATTACTGTGATGTCTTGGGTCACAGCTGTTATTTAATCGGTAAGTGTGGTACTTATATGAGGCACGTGTGGATTTATTCCACGGATCCAGGTTTGAAATGAGACCCAAGAAAGCAGAAGGCACCATCTCCAGGGCTCTGTTTACACTCATAACTTGCTCTGCCGTCTCCTTAAAAGAACCATCAGCATTCCCTGTAGTGATAACTACCAAACCTTTCCACTGCCATTTGCGGTGATTAAATTTTATTCTGAAACAACTTTTATGACATTTGTAAGTAATTTTGTTCTTTGGCTATAATTTGAATAACTCCGCTCCAGGGTTATAATAAAGTAATTAATATGTCGGGGCGGTTTTGAGCAGGATTCAATTTATTGCCTCTGTAAACAATAAAGTGAAACATGGGCAACTTGGAGGAAAACGGTTAAGACGTGTTCATTTTTCTCCTCACACAGAAAGGAAGAAACTGCCTTCCCTGTACTTCTGTACCACCCCTCACACACTCAGGATGCACGATCATGGGCTTCCCTGGAGGTCCACTGGTTGATAATCCGCTTTGCGAAGGTGGGGACACCCGTTCGATCCCTGGTCTGGGAGGACCCCACACTCTAGAGCCTGTGGTCTGCAACGAGGAGCCACCGCATTGAGACGCCCGTGGACCACGCCTAGAGAGTAACCTCTGCTCGCCGCAACCGGAGAAAGCCTGCGTGTGGCAGTGAAGACCGAGCCTAGCCAAAACAACAATAACCTTAAAAGCTGAAAAAGAAAAGCATGTGTTATCACGTGACTCACTCCTCTGGCAAGAGATAGGGATCCAGCACAGGCGGGGTGGGCGAGGACATCTTGGTAAGGGCCATGATGTGCTCAAAGGTGATGTCTGTCTGAGTTCCCGTGTCCACCGTCTGTGACTCTGACGGAGGAGTGAACATTTTGGTCCGTGGTGTTCTCCTCAACACCTGGACCACGATGGGTTCCTTGGCTGTCTTGAAGGCTTCCACAGCCTGGTCGTGAGTTGCTCTGGATAAGTCTTTGCCATTGACCTGTCGGAAAATATGAGAGGGTTTAGAGGATTATAACTAAGCAGATTTTGTTAAAGATTAAAAATTGTTTGAATTTAACAGCATTATCTTTCTTTCTTCTTTTTTTTCCAGTAGCCATGTATGGATGTGTGAGCTGGACAACAAGGAAAGCTGAGCACTGAAGAATTGATGCTTTTGAACTGTGGTGTTGGAGAAGACTCCTGAGAGTCCCTTGGACTGCAAGGGGATCCAACGAGTCCATCCTAAAGGAAATCAGTCCTGAATATTCATTGGAAGGACTGATGTTGAAGCGGAAGCTCCAATACTTTGGCCACCTGAGGTAAAGAGCTGACTCATTGGAAAAGACTTTGATGTCAGGAAAGATTGAAGGCAGGAGAAGGGGATGACAGAGCATGAGATGGCTGGATGGCATCACCGCCTTGATGGACATGAATTTGAGCAAGCTCTGGGAGTTGCTGATGAACAGGGAGGCCTGGCGTGCTGCAGTCCATGGGGTCGTGAAGAGTCGGACACGACTGAGCAACTGAACTGAACTGAATTAAGCAGAAGCTGGGAAGATGGTTTTTGTGTATAAGCAGCTAAAAGGAAAACTTGGGGGTGTCAAGAACTTCACTGCTTAGGGTCAGGTTCCCCGGGAATGCCTGGTGGGAAGCGGGTGAGTGTGGAGGTGTGCAGATTAGACACGAAACAATAAGCCTCATGGTGAGGAAGGCTTGGCTTCCTACTGGAATGTCTTTACACAGTTTCACCCCCTCCTAGTCTTGCCTGTGAGAGAAAGGAGCAGCCTCGGGCTCCAGCCTTAATCGTGCCATACAAGCTATTAATAACTGGGCATTAATTAATCTTTCCCTTTTAGTGGTGTGTATTTTCCCAGTGCGTGTCAGGTGAGATTAGTTTTCCTTTCATGGAAGGGATGTGACATTTCCTTCTTAAATGAATGCCTTTGCTTTTCCTTAAAAAGTCGATTGAGAACATTAAGTCAGTGATAATCAGGCCGTAGGTGGATACGGCAGGGACCAAGGAGGAGTTCAGATGACCGGACGCTTTGACTGATGTTTCGGAAAAAGCACCTAGCTTCACCGCTCTGCTGTGCAGAGTCCTTTGCTGTGGCTGCCTTTCCTGAGCGCCCACTGTCTACTGCGTCCTGAAATGAAGAGGCCTCTGAACGCTTTTCTCATCAGTCTTGGGAAGGTAGCAGGACCAAAGCATGTTCATGCCCCTCCCCTTACAGCCACAAATAAACCACATGAGATGACCTTGCTAGTTACTAATGGGCCACAACTTCGGATGCTGCGAGCAGGATTCTTTCCAATGGTAGAATCCAAACTAACCGAACATGGTTCTCTTTAGAAGAGCTTACAGGAGAGGAAAGAGAAGCCAGAACCTTACATCTAGAAAATGAAGTCATTCCCAGCCACATGGAAGCGTGACTATTTCATTTACCTTCCCTGTTCCAGCCCCCACGGCCAAGGAATGTGACGCTGTGCTCTGATACTTTGGTGATGTCTAAGGATTGCACTTGCATGACAGTTCATCAGACTGAAATATTTCGGTCTTACCCCAAGAAGTTGGTCTACTTTTTAAAGTCAGGTATAAAACAAGGGTCTAAGAATCATATTCTGTAGAGTGCATGTTAGCAGGAGTTCGCCAGAGTCTCAGATCTTTTCTGGACAGCATCACGGACAAATTCATGTCATTTGTTTATAAATGCCCAAACCAACCCTGAACCTTGCTTCTCCTGCCTGGTTTCTACATTTCCGCCCTCAGCAGCATTTAGTTCAGAGCATACAGACAATTAGGTCCATCCTCTGAGGCAGGCACTTCAGTCTCTCTGTACCCAAGCTGCACATGAATACTGACGGTGCAGCAGTTTTTCTATTTTGTTCTCAGCCCTTTCACTCCGGCCCTACGGGGACAGGAACTCTGAGGCTGAAATGCCTTGTAAACAACTGTTAGGTTGAGGAATAGATGTCAGATTCTTTCCTTGTAATGAAGCTCAAATGAATCATGCCAGTGGAGATTATTAATGATTTGGAGTCAATCCACTTAAGTAATTTACTATCATCTTAAGGGAGTTAGGCAGAGCACGAACTCCGAGCTGTGAAATGCCTCGAGTGCACCAGTAAATAAGTCAATGGCTGAACCATCAAAGTCTTACAGTCCCTCATCCTGAAAGACGGGGAAGCCAGGATTTAACACCACAACTGTCTTCACTCTCCTTCCACTGAGGACAGAATGAAAGGACACGGAGGAATTCTTGCTAGCTCTCCAAACCAGTTGAGCACTGTGACCCCTTCCCTGCTCAGAGCTGAGAACTGTGAGGGCCCAGGGATGAGGTAGAGGGAATGAAAGTCAAGTCGGAATGCTGAGGCTGGACTGTCTGAGCCATATCTTCCATTAATGCCTCACAGCTAGAGTCAGATAATAAAGGAATTTATGATGTCACAGCAAAACTTGTCCCTGGATTCTGTTAATGACACATCACAGCACCCTTAGGAGATATTGGTTTGGCCATTGCCAGCTATCCATGCTGGTGACGGCTGATACTAAAGGTAGTTTTACTCACAGCAAACTCAAGACAGTACGACTTTTGAATGGGCTCTGTAAGGTATGTCAAAACTGTGCTTTCTCTATAATACAAGGACTTTTGCCAAAAGGGAATGAACATGGGATTTTCTTCTAAGGAGTCTTCAAATTGTGTCTCAAAAAAAGCCATCCTGGGAGCCTTTACTTTTTACCCACGTAACAAGATCTTGCAAATAACCTCAGCAGAAAGGTTAGCTGCCTGATAAAAAGTGTCTCTCCTTGTTCCTCCCGCTTCCTCTCTGCCACAAGAGCTTGGATTGTGTTTCCTTTCCACTAGATCAGACAGCATTCCCCCTGGGAGAGGCCTGAGGTGTGCATTTAATTGGCTCTAGCCTGTGTGGAGGTCCGGTTTCTTTTGCTTAGTGATGGAGCTGGGTCTCTGAGGCCAGGTTAACATACTGAGGGATGCAGAGAAGAAAAATGGAGAACTGGCATCTCCGGACGACTCATTGAGCAAATGAACGGCCTAAGCTTAGAACCTCTTAATCTCAAAGTTCTTGTCACATTTGAGAACACAATCTTTATGCTTTAGGCCATTTTAACTTGGATCTTAACTCCCCGCAGCCCAGAACACTGATTGGTGCAGCTATCGCACAGATGTTTTGGAAAGTTACACAGGGACGTCTTATTTGTTCCCATTGACATTCCCCTGGTCTGTATAAGACGGTGAGTGAAAATGCTTTTCTGATAAGGAATGTATCTTAGTAAGCTTATTTTTTATAGGAAAGTGATGGCATCTGCTGCTTTACTTGTATAGGTGTTAGGAACCAACGCTAGAACTACTGAGGACGTCCCTCGTGGCTCAGAGCTAAAGAATCTGCCTGCCAAAGCAGGAGATGTAGGTTTGATCCTCGAGTGTGGACGATCCCCTGGAAAAGGAAATGGCAACCCACCCCAGTATTCTTGCCTGGGAAATCTCATGGACAGAGAAGCCTGGCGGGCTGCAGTCCGTGGGGTCGCAGAGTTGGATATGACTTAGCGACTAAACAACAAAGAACTACTGAGCAGATGCTTAAATGGTACCTAGAAAGTGAAAGGAAGGACTCTCCTGCATCAGTCTATGCTAAGATTCTCGGCGCCAAAGAGCTGCCCTGTGTCTGGGAGCACACTTACAAACACAAGAAGGCTTTTCTGAATCTCTCCAACTTAGGATATTATTAAAAGGCATTGATGCAAACCCACAACATCCCCATGGTCTAAGATGCAGAGAAAGAAGAGTGGCAAACCCTCTGGGAAGCCAGGAGCCTGAGGGTGACTCTGAAACGTCCTCTCATCACCCATCAGATTGTCACCCCTGCTCATGACTGGGTTCCACAGAAAGAGCACTGGACCTGATGGAACAATTTCAGCAGCCCTCATGTGTATGTTAATCAGGCACAGTTCAAATATGCCCCCTCCACAAGCCAGGGGACCCACTCTTGTCTTACAGCCCAGGGCTGGAGTGCCCCGTGTCCCAAACTATGGGATCGGACCAGGGTTAGAGACTGTTGTTTTGGACCATTTATTCTGAGTCTGTTTCTTCATGTGCAAAATAAATGTACTTATAGAGTCACGCTTCTTAGGGTTATTATAAAGTTTAATGAGAATCTACTTTACAGCCTAGCATGCACATGATAAGAATTTACTAAGATACCAGGGCTAATAGGGATCCTACCCCAGAAGAGCCACATTTTCCCAGGAGATGACAGTCTGCAAATCAGAGAAGCAAAATGCAGCCTGCTTAGGTAGCCTTAAGAGACACATTAGTGTACTGAGGGGCTTCTTTATTTTTCAGTGAAGTTCCCTAGCCCAAATGTTTCTGAGCTGCCAACATACCTAGTAATGTTTTCAGTCTGCAGGTTGGAATTCTCTGTGTGTGGGGGTGCAACAGATAAATTCTACTGGACTTGACCCCTGCCACACAAACTTCCTGAGAAGCTATTGCAGGCATTGATACATTCTTCTAAAAGAGGATGAGACGAGGCGGGACTCCACTCTCCTAGACAATCTATTTTTGCAGCCAAATTTGTTTTGAATTACCTTGTGCACATAACACTTATTACGCTGTCATCTTGGAATCACATCAGTGAGGGACTCGGCGAGGTGATAACTCGGGTGCACGCTGTCAGCCGACTAAGAACGACAACCTTTATTCCCGGGATTAGCATTACATGTACATTACGCCAAACGGCGACGATGATGGCTGCAATTACGGGCGCGATGCTCATCCCGTGACGTTTGGCCCAGTCAAATTAAATATCATTAACTCGCCCAATTGAGCAGATTGCTTTTTAAAACAGTTTATGCGGCTCTAAAACCAAGTAAATGGAATGTTTTGGAAAGAGAAATGCTGATGGCAAACTTTATTATACATTAAATGCATAAGTTATTCACCTAGGGCTGAGGATGGTCCCCTGGGACGGAGGTGCAATTAG